AAAACAATAATTAAACCCATATGGACATACGGCATTGAGCTCTGGGATTGCGCCAGCAAGTCCAACATAGCAATCATCCAGCGAAGTGAATCCAAAATACTTAGAGCCATAGTTGACGCACCTTGGTACGTGTCAAACCAAACTCTTCACACCGACCTCAAGATCCCATATGTAAGAACCGTAATCACAGACAGAATCCAAAAACATTATCAGAAACTGGAATCTCACCCCAACAACGCAATAGAAGCTCTCCTTCAACCTACACAATACAGAAGACTAAGACGAACTTGGCCAAACGATCTCCAGGAAAACTGAGGCGTAATCGATGGATTACAGCTCTTCAAGCCAACTTAGTACAATAGAATAATTATTGTACATGACAGCAAATTAGCTCATAGAATGCAAATTCAGATTGCTAATAAATGATAAATAAAAGAAATTAAATCTTGATGAGTTGATTGCTATCAGTTCATTTATTAGACACCACTGCTTCCCTTACCAAAAATAGTACCCCACGTCACTGCCCTGTAGTCTGGTATAAGTTTAGAAATAATGTATGTAAAACATAAAATTAAGAAGTTTTTAATCGAGGTCAGAGGTTCTCACGATCGTGACTGATGTTGATTTATAACCAATAGTAGTTTTCACATCCAATTAAAAATAATACAGCCAATTGCAACTCATCTCCTGTGTAGTCCAATGAACGCATATGTATTACCTTTAGAGGCCGTAGTGTCCTATATGACAGTTGCATGAAACTTGGTAGTACCGTGACGGCATGAATTATATTCTGCAGTGTGTGTGCATATGTTTCACGTGACCAGCATCTCTCCAGTTCTCCACATGCATCCACTTCGCTTCCAGCGGTTTCTCAGCGATTCGGTATTAATGTTGTCAAATCAGAGGGGAAAGATTCAAATTTATCCAATAAGGCTTTACCATGGACAACAGTTAAATGCAAATATATGTATATATATATGTTCCGTGTTCATTGTGATTTTCTGTATTGGAATAGGGAAGAACTTGCACGATGATGTCTGCCATTCGTATATTGAAGAAAACGCTACCATTGGCCATCGCCGCGCGATGCGAGCTGCAGAATGAGGCTGGTAGATTATCGCGCGATGAGATTCCTAGGCCTTTCTACTCACATGCATTTCCGTCACGGCTCTCGGCAATATCTGACTTTTCCTTCTCGGATCTGTCGATGTCTATTGTTCCATCTGATTTTCTTTAAGCAAATCTGAAGTTATAACTGTGCTTAAGTAATTGATTCACAGTCCATGAAGATATTTGGGGGAACGTAGATGTACTCCACCATTTCTAACCTCGGCATAAAATGCAGAGGAATGATTAGCTTCAAGCTCCGACAGCTTTACTTCCGGCGAAACAGTTCACTGTGTGCATTGCATAGATCGGTGCGTGTGCCACAGTGTCAGACTGGATGCCACGTTAAAGAAGAAAAATAAGAAGAATCTCTTGCCCGTTCAGGAAATGGAACATCGATTCCTAGGTCGTCCAGCCCATAATTTAGTCTCTTTATTGCCGGGAACATCCGTTGCGTAGCGATTGTTAGAGCGCTATTTTTTGCAAAGAATCTGTGGTCTATTTTCTCGTGTAAACTTGACTGTACTTGAAACAGTTTTCTTCCCAGCTTTTCGCTTTCTACTTTGTGGCAACGTTACCTGAAACAAAATTTCAACCTTATTTCAGGTCTGCACATGAGCGCAGAAAACTGCTGACTATCTTGGATAAATAATATAAACTTATCAGGCGTGTAAAGGATAGGCAATGCGTCGACGTATTGAATTTTGTAACCGTAATTCTTTTCATATCAGATGATGCAACTAATTTCAAATACAGATCTCCTATCAAGAAGCGAATTAATCTTTATAAGAGACATCTTGATCTAAAGGCACCATGCAGGAACCTCAGCAATGTTGTTGATTTACATTCTTAATTACAATGTACTACTGTAAACGAACTGTATTACTGTTAACACAAGATGATACACAACTGACCCCAGCACCAGCAGACGCCAAGGACAACATCTGGTTTTTCTGAGGGACAAGCAAGCTGCAGGTCACTTGAAAACCCAGAACGGAGCAGGAAGTATCCAGCTGCGTTTTCTGGGATTTTCAATGCTTAACTTGGAAGGTGCAAGTTTTTGAAAATTTGAGACTTGATAGTTACGAGTCGAAATATTTTTCGAAGGGGCGTACCGAGCGATCGTTAGCGTACCTTCATTTATTTGAGAGATGTCAGAAGGACCGTCTTCTACTTAGGCCCAAATTTACATGGATCTTGTTAGGGATTGGCGGAATGGAAATGAGAGTAACACCCAAATTTTAGGTTCAGCCAATCAGCAAAATTTGAGAGGAGAGGAAACTGGGCGTTCCCGGAACTGTCAAGACTTCTGCCTCTCCGGAGGAGTCAGTCGCCTAAAGGGAGTAACAGGAGTAAGCTCCCGGACGTGAAATCTGTGTTGGCCGAGTCCGGTACACAAATTGAAAAGTGCTACAGCTTTGTAAAATGTAATTCTAGTTCACATCTACAATAAAGAGCAACAATGTTGGTGCAGTGTGTGTTTTAAGTGTTCTCTCTCTCCTTGTTCGTCAATTATAATAAATATTTATATACTAAAAACTTGTTAAGATTATTTATCTTATCTGTCCCAATTCTAACACCGCGCCTAGTTCCACCACTATGGGAGTCGTTCCCCTTACATCACTGTATATCGTGTCTCGTTTTGTATGTTCCCTCTTCGGTTGCGGGTGTTTTAATGTAATTACATGTTTCGGCCACTATTGCCCATCATCAATAGCTTAGTCCACCACAGCACGAACCCCACGCTACCACATGCTTCACTGGATCATACACAGACAGACATAGGCCAACAATAAAATATTATATAAGAGTTTCAATCTGTATTCCAACCAGAGCGTCAAAGTATACTGTGAAATGAGACACCGGTTAAACAATAATACTACACTAATACCACGGACCTCCAAGCAGTTAACTATACGCGTACAAGTCATGAATATACCGCTATATGTCCGCTGGAATATAACAACAAGATCGCAGCAACTGACTTCATAGTATGGAACATTACGTGAATAGTTCTTAACCATATTTTATTGTATAATATGTAGCCAAGGGGATATTGACCTAGATCGTTTCGTTGATGTGTTACGACAGATCACAGTAAAGAATTTTAATCTATAAGACGTTCTTCGTAACCAACAGTAGAAAAATTAAGGCGTCGTTATGTCCCTCTACTTATACAGAGTGCGTCAATGAATCGGATGATATGGCAGCGGTGTTTCCTCCTGAATTGTTTGCAGGGGAAGGATACCACTCCAGCACCCTCCAGCCTACTTCAAAGCGTCTTTGTTGCAATGGAGCCGTGGACTAGAGCACAAAGTACTTTTGCTGTGAAAGCAATTTACAAAAACGGTGAAACTTTCGTGATCGCTCAGCTTGAATTTCGAAGAGAATTTGGTATTATTGCAATAGTGCTGTTCCATCTGTCCATGCCATCAAGATCTGGGTTCAAAACTTTGAGGCTACTGGTTCTACACTAAAGAAGAAATGTGGTAGCGTAAAAATAGCACGTACACCAGAGACTGTAGCGACAGTGAGAGAAGCCATTGAACGAAGTCAACGCTGGTCTGCGCGTCACCACGCTACGTCACTCTGGCTGTCCGAAGCCAGCGTTCGGCGGATTTTGCACAAAGATCTCCACTTCTATCCCTATAAAATTCATATCTCCAGATATGGGGACATCATATGGCCAGCCAGGTCACCTGATCTTTCCACATGTGATTTTTTTTTCCTCTGGGGGTATCTGATATCCCAAGTTTTCAAAGCGCCAGCACCCACAGAGTTCAGGAGTTCAAACATTGAATTCGGAAAGAAGTTGAACGAATTCCCATAGAGATGCTGCAGAGGGTAATGAGAGACTTTAGGAAGAGACTTACCGAGTGCCTACAGCAGAATGGTGGTCATTTGTCGGGTGTTATTTTCGGGAAATAGACTACTGTTTTCAGTGATTTAATTGGTAAAATCAAAGGCTTTTATATTTACACTGTATTCATGTGTTAAAACCGAATAAATGCAATAGTTTACTGTTCATACCGTTTTCAAAATCGCCCGATTCATTGACGCACTCTGTACAAGACTTTTAATTAATGTTATCTGATATTAATTCTTTTAACAAACACAACTTATTTCAATTGTATTAATATTTCATTCTCGACTTTTAGGCTTGTAGAAATCTCCTTATGAAAAATTACCTTCAACATATTTGTAAAGTGCTTCCTTTCAGCGCTGACCACGCCTTCTGATGCTGGCCAGTAGTGGCCGAAACATGTGCAGGGGGACTTTCACATTCCCAAACGAATACTGCCACTCTTGACGTGCCATACTATTCAATAAGCTAATAATCGCTGAGCTAGTCAGATATTTCCCCGTCTTTTATGCAGCCCGTAGGATCTCATACTGAGCTAGAAGAATCCAGACCAACTGATAATTTTCTTCGGTTTCCATACTTAATTCTTCTTTATTTCCCTATATCCCCACGTGTGCTACGTACGCAGCCCAGCTCATCCTCTTTAATTCATGAAAACTGGCTGATATATTGTAGTGATAATAACCAAGCTTGAAGTCACGTAACAACTTTTAGATTTTACTGTTAGTATAAATGCTCAACATCTCGGAGATGGCGTTTGCGGGCACAAATATGGGCTGACACACCCTCCTCTATAAGCGTGTTTTTTGAGCAGTATGTAGGCGAATGCAAGTAAAGAATATACAATAATCATTCCCCTGTGTAATCTCCAAAGATTACAAGTGTCATTCAGAAACCCCTTCCCTTCTCTCAGCATCTCAGCATTACGAATCATGATGAGTGTGCGAATTAGGAGTAAGTAGATCCTTGACGTGGACAGAGAAGATAAAATTGCCAGCTATTTACTGGGGTATCAGTTTGTGTGCAGAATTTCACTCAGCAACAAACAAACATCATGAGATACGGGTTAACTCTTCTGCTGACAACTATAGTTGCAGTCCTAGCTGATGATTTAGTTGTACTAAAACAAGGAAATCTCAAAGGGCATCGGATGACGTCATGGAAGGGCCGTGAGATATTTGCTTTTCAAGGAATTCCTTATGCCAAACCACCAGTAAGGGAGTTGAGATTCAAGGTATGTTCTCATGTTTTAAATGTTTTCTCTCGGCACAAGAAAAGGACAATAAATTAATAATTTTGTTTAAGCACTGAATGCCAACATTGCAACTCGTGAAACAACGAAGATATTCAATGAACAGACACGCAATAAACAGCTTACATACTCAAGACATATGATCTAAAATGTTGACAGTTTTCAAAGAAGATGAGATGGCCACGACATGTAGCACGCATGGGGAGAAAAATAATGCGTATAGAGTTCTTGTGGGAAAGCCAGGAATTAATAGACCTAGACGTTAGTGAGAATATAATATTAAGAACGGTTTAGAGAAGTAGGGTGAACGGTATGGACTGGATTCATCTGGCTCAGGATAAGGACCAGTGGAGGCCACTTCTGAACACGGAATGATCCTTCCGATTACATAAACTTTGGGAAATTCTTGAGTAGCTGAGGTACTGGGGACTTCACTAGAAGGACTGAATCCCATGGATTTACTTAATTAAATAGTTTTATTGCAGACAATTAAAGGGTCGACAGCTTTATGACAAAGAATGAGTTTGTTGAGGCACTATGCTACAAGTCGGAATGTCCCGGGTTCGATTTCCGATGAGGTCACTGGATTTTTCAATTGACCTAATTCTTCCAGTCATACTATGACCCTTGGGTCGACACAGCCTCTAAGATTAATGAGTACCAGGAATCTTACTGGGATATGAAGGGCGGCCGGCGCGTAACTCTGACCACTGCAATCTGTGAACCGATTATCTAGAAGATATGGGAGCCTCGGTGTCCCATAACCCTCTTGGGCTCCGCCGCCTGTTACAGGAATATCTTTACTATCTTTTCGAATAGTTATTCTGCATCTCCTGCAGAAGTTTGAAAGTGACAAAGAAGTCGCTGCATCAGCCCTGGTTCACTTGAGTTTATTATGCTGCAAGAACGGAATTGGTGCCAAAGCTTAAGCTGGGCGTAGAAGGTTCTGATGTGGCGTAAACGTAACCCTGCACAAATCATAGTAAATCTCCACACAGTCTTCAGTAGAAAAAGGCGGAATACAAAACAAATATTTAATAACAATCACAGATATAACAAATTAATAACACAAAATTCACAATAATCGAAGAAAATAAAGGTGAACCGAAACTACTCTGAACAATAGCTCCAGTAGAACAAGATACGGCGAGCCCGACACTTTGGTCGCCCTAAATGCAAATCAAACATCATTATGCAATCACTCGCGCGTCTGTGTGACACAGACCGAGAGAAGTAAACTACCCGCACAATAAGTAGAAGATTCACGAAACACAAATCGTAATACGGTATTACGGTACAATAATTTTTCACGAACGTAAAGTAAATGAATAAAACAAATGGGTCCTTATAAAATGAAAAATCAACCCCAAAATCTTGTCGCAACATTCTCCAATGACTCCCTTGCCCTCATCGGACTAGGTAAAGGGTCCTGACAATTTACAAGTACGCAAGGCTACTGAGATCCAGTTTACATCCAACTCCGCCCACCAACGGAAAGCAATGGAGAGACAGAGAGAGAGAGATAGAAGCTAGTTGAGACAAATCCAGGCAAACCTTCATTCCAGAACATGGAGTGAAGGAAAATCGCGTGATAGATAAGATGATCGGACATAATATGGGAAATACGTCACAACTCGCACGTCTCGGTGTGAGGGGAAAAGGAATGACAACTGAGACACAGGCCCAAAATCGCCACATCTCAGCCGTCGAACATATTGCAAGGCTCCTTGCAATTACTATATCATGTACAAGATAATGCTATCCCCGTAAAAGGCCGTAGAGCCCCATAGGGTTGTGAGACGTCGAGGTACCCACATCTTCAGGACAGTTGGCTCACAGATGGCGGTGAGGTTGTCAGCCTTACACGCCGACCGATCGCCCTTTATTCCCAATAAGTTTCCTGGTACTCATTTCTGTTAGAGGCTAACTACGCCATGAAGACGTATGGGGGAGTGGATTATAGGTACATATTTCCTTGACCTCGGCACTTGTTGGAGGTGAGTGGTCAGCTTCACCCCCCGGCCGCTTTACCCCAGGGAAAGAGCCCACGGTACCCATTGGATAGGCTGGGTGGGTCCCAGAGCCAGTCTGGATGACGTGGAGAAGAGAACATTTTTTTATCCTACCGAGACTCGAACTCCGACTCCTCTGTCGTCCAGCCCGCAACCAGTCGCTATCCCGGCTCCGGCTGAAAAGGTTAGGTCAATTAGAAAGTCCAGTGACCTCTACAGAAATCGAACCAATTACCTTCCCGCTTGTAGCACAGACCCTCAACCAGCTATGCTACCGTGTGCCCATTGTATCACGTACTTATCGCAAATTTACTCGCAAGCCGAGTGGATATACTGAAGCGTTACGTACTATACATACCCTACTACTCTATCCCGAAAAAATCCGACAAATTTCTGTATCTGGGTGGTTACAATACCTAATCCCCTTCAAAGCAGGCCCCTTGTGACTCCACACACTTAGCACAGCCGTCCTTCCATCGCTGGAAGCAACACTGGAAGGCTTCTTTTGGAATGGCGTGTAGCTGCGCCGCCGCGTTCTGTATGGTGTCCTCGCGGCTGTCAAAACGTGAACGTTTTATCGGTGTCTTTTATCTCGGGAACAGCCAGAAATCACAAGGAGCCATGTCAGGAGAGTAGGGAGTCTGGCGAACCTGCAAAATGCTGTGCTTGGCCAGGAAACTCTGGATTAGGTGTGAAGAATGAGCTAGGAAGTTGTCATGATGCAGCTGCCAGTTACGTGCGTCCCACAGCTCCGTTCTCTTGCGACGAACTGCATCATGAAGATGGCGGAGGACTTCTTGGTAGTACTCCTTATTGATAGTCTGGCCTAGTGGTGCGTACTCATAATGCACAACACCCCGGTAATAGAAAAAAACAGTATCACCTTCACATTGCTCCTAACCTGTCGTGGTCTTTGAGCCTCGGGGGATGTTGGATGCTTCCATTGTGACGCCTGGACCTTGGTTTCCTGGTCATATCCGTACATCCACAACTCGTCACCAGTAATCACAGTCTTCAGGAACTCAGGATTCATTTCGGCCCACTAGAGCATGTCCTGAGCGACCTCAAGACGGAGTTGTTGCTGCTCCGGGGAAAGCAACTTGGGCACAAATTTTGCCGCCACCCTTCGCATTCCCAAATCCCTAGATAAAATTGCGTTTGAGGAATCTCTGCTGATCCCAATACCATCAGCAGCTTCCCGCATAGTCAAACGACGGTCCTCCATGATCAGTGTCCGCACTTTTTCAGTGACATCAACATTTCGGTTCGTTGACGGTCTCCCGGAATGTTGGTCACTGTCCGTCGACATCCGGCCATCTTTAAAGCAGTTGAACCACTCTTTAATTTGAGTGACCCCCATTGCATCATCGCCGAAAGCCTGCTGAATTTTGCGGATTGTTTCCGCTTCGGTATCCCCAAGTTTCTGACAAAACTTAATGCAGTATCGCTGGTCCAAGCGTTCTGTCATCTTGAGCGAAACGAGAATGAGACGAACACGTGTTACACCACTTCGCTATCTGGCAGCCACAGACGCATCGGGCGGTGTTGCGAGTCAGCAAAAATTACGCATGCGCGTGAAAGACCCTTCTGCCCTACGCTCAGTTTCCCCACCCCTTTGACCATTACTTACAGCGGCAAAAATAAAGTCGGACACTATTTGGACAGCAGTGTACACTATTTACATATTATAATGTGTTGGTTTTCTGTCTATTGGTTAACATTATAGTTGTATTGTTGAAGTTGTAAGTTTTGAATGTTTTATGTGAATTTGGGGCGCTGAACACATTAGCTGACCGCCTCACGCGTTTCATTTGTTGTGCTGTTCTTCTCCGGAGCGGCTTGGCCCAAGTTCTTGTTGTAACACTGTTATTTGTAGACATGGGGGTAGTTTCGTTGGTTTCGCGGTCATTCTACGAGCAAATGGGGAAATCCCTATCTATGTTTGTTGATGCTGGATTGTGCAGCACCTGCATGTCTGGGAGGTGGCTGTATTGAACCACTGCTTCTTGACACAACTGCCAAATCCATTCTTCCTGATTAACTTCAATTACAAACTTCGCTTTCAACTTCCAGTCTAGCCAAAGAACTGACTATACGTCATGCTTCGATTACGTAGTAGCCGAAGTTTACATGTTATTACTCCGGGAGCATGAGATAGGCAGGACGTAGAGCACCATGGAAAATATCTCTGCACTCAGTTTTAACCGAGAAGAAAAAGCTAAAAGGAAGAGGTATATTGCATCTGTCGATTCACATTAAGATTTTTTTTTGTATGAATTCTCTCCAGCAATATAGCTATCGGCAAGAGCAGTGAATGTGTGCATGATCCTACTTATGTCGTATTTCTGTTTGACGACTGTCACTGTAAAACGCTTCCGACTTACGTGTATAAGGACACCCCCACACTATGACAATCCCACCCCCACTTCCAATAATTGCGTTGAGTTAAATCAGCAGCAGTTGAAGTTATAACCCTTCAGTAGAAAATTTTTCCTGTGGTATATTATTTCTGTTTCGGTAAAAAATATTATCACGTGAGGGAGTGACTATAGACGGAGTTTAGATTGGAGACTGGACTTACTGATCACATTAACACACGACTCGTGACTACAATAAATTTTTAGCACCATCGCCGACTCCACAGTTTAGAAATCTCTATAGTGTACGCTAAGTCTATTTTGTCTGCTGTGTCTTCACCGGTCGTTCCCTTATAACGGCTTCTAACAGTGTAGATTCTCCATCTTCCGAGCTCACCCCGTTGCCTGCTTATTCTCAAATGCACCGGCTATGCATTCTCTTCACAGACTCCATTACAACTGATTTATACTTATACTCTAAACTTGTCCCATTGATAATCACGTGGCACAAATGGCGTAGTAAACACCGTTTCCAATAATTCCTCTATTGTTACGTGTGAATTCGTTGCCATGACAACATGTTTCTTTGCGAAGGCGTTACTCAGTAGTGGTTGCGAACATTTGCTTGTTAAGAATCTATTGCTTCATTATTTGTTTCGTGGTCGTTACCCAGCAACGGGTACATGATACAATATCGCTTCAGCAGTAGACTGTAACCGGTGTCTCGCTTTCTGTGTCCCAAACTCACTACTGACTTTCCGTACACTAAGGATCTGATCCCGTTACCTCCCGAATACCAAGCAGGAATGCTACCCGCTCCATGACGACAATCAGTCCCTACTCTTGTAGGACTGGCTTCTATGTGTCTGTCACCTCAGTCAGCTGAAGGACTCAACAAAACTGCATACTGGTTCAGTTGAGAGGTTATTCGGTTATGATATATATTGTGACAGAATAATCAAATGCTAGGCAACGGCTCTTTAAACACTGCTTAAAAAGCGGAATACCAGCAGAAGCGGAAGTCACTATTCTAGGCAACGGTTTGTTAATTCCTGTTTTCGAGGCAACAAATATTAATAAATACATTTTTGTGACAACAAACAGAAAAACAGAAGGCAATTGACTGATCGACATGGGGGCTTATATTCGGGCCGCATGGCAGTTATAATAGAGAGTTAATTTGTGAATTTAAGAGATTATTCCGAAATTCTCCATAAGGCATTCGTCAGACAGGAGTCGTAATTCATTCAGGAGTTCAATGTGTGAGCTCTTGTAATTGATTGTAGTTGTAATGAAGTTCCAATAAACCCAGTCATCAAATCCAGAACCCATTATTATTTGTTACACTAGAACCCTTATACTTGACAATATGAACAGCTGGGGATATTTATCATCGTTTGAGAAGACGATCATGACTGGCGAGTTAGAGAGACTGAAAACTACAAGGAGGTATCCGGGTATAGTCCGGAAGGACAATCAATAATGTGCCCATCAACTGAGCCTGTTCGGCCACCGAGTGGCAAACCAAATACCGCTCCTTCTTATAGCCCTGGTATCCTGCTTGGTAACTGAATATTATTGACAGCTTTGGTAACACCTCCCCTATGAAACAATATCTTTAAATTAAAGAGTAACCTACAGTTATAGGTATCTTTTATTTCTGGTAACATATACAAAATAAGCTATGTCCTACGCTGATTACAAGAATGACAGCATCTATGATTGTGTCTAAGAGGAACCTGGTTCGAATCCCGCCTCGCTACCCGCAGTCACGACCTGCGTTCTCCATGGTGTTGCCTTCGTCCATATCCTCACTAACTGGTCACCCGTAGTCATATTCTCGTCTCATTGCATATATATAGTTCGAACAGTGTCGTTATGTATGCTAGCAATGAACCAATGGTTGATGGAATATCTGTTGAGTATGGGACGGGCACGACATGTAGCATGCAGAATTTTAATGAGAGACATAAAATCCTTGTAGAGATCCTAGGCGTTTGTAGAAGGAAAATGGGAAAACTGATTTCACGGAAAAATGATGGACAGGATCCATTTGGCTCGGAATAAGGCCCAGTAGGTGGCCCTTATGAACACAAAAATACAATTTCAGAGTCAAGAAAGGTGTGACATCTTTCGACAAGCTAAGCGATCATCATCTCTGAAGCAGAACCGTGCTGCATTGTGTTAGATTCAAACCTCTAACCCGATGTGTTATTTTTGTTGACAGTCTCCACAGCCTGCAGAACCATGGACCGGTGTGCTGGACGCTACCAAGGAAGCCCCTGTGTGTGTCCAGCGAGGGTTCCTCCCCAGCGATATAGAAGTCAGAGGACAAGAAGACTGCCTCTACCTCAACGTCTACACACCACGGGTAACGTTCTCTTCCACGGATGATAAGCTGACCTTATCAGTTGGCATCGAAGTGTGTAAATTTCCCACCACTCTCCGCTCCCTGGCCATCACAGTAATCGCCCTTTCTGAGACATGAACTGCCTTCGCTCGCTCGAACGCTGGGATCATGGGTTCGAATCCCATTGAAGGTACGGATTTCTGTACAGTGTGAGTTCATTGTGCTTTTGTATTGTTCCGTGTGTAGGTAGAGGCCTTGCGATGGACTGATCCCCCGTCCAAGGGGTCCTACCGACTGTGTATAGGATTAAGAAACTGAAAAAGCGGCGAAGGCCCAACAAAAGGCTGTAGAACCATAATAATAATAATTCAATTCAATTCAATTCAATTCAATTCATGTTTATTTACGTGCAATAACTTAACAGCCCAGCGGCCAATTACAAAGTTAGCACGAGTATATAAGGTACAAAATAATTAAAACAAAATACAAATACGACAAATAAATCTGTGAACATAGATCTAAAGAAGACTGAAATATATACATACATTTATGAAATATTACGAATGTTGCTAATACTGTTAGTAACTAAATACTAAGATAAGACACCAGTGAGTGATAGCATAAAATTAATAAAATTAATAACCAGTCAATAAATTAAAACCAATTACATAAGAATAATTAAAGCTAGCCGAGGTAACACATATTTGTAGTGAATGAAAACACTAATCAAGTAACACCGTAAAAGGTTTGGTACATGCTTGTAAAATATGATTCAGAGAAACCGCTCCGTCTGCAAATATGTCGAGATCTTTACCCACCACGTTGGTAGCAAGGGCGCACCTAGAAGAGGGACAGTGTCTTTTTGAGGGACGAACGCTAAAAGTAGAGAAGTCTCGAACATGGCAAGTAGGAACACGAAGACTAGCATTATCCAGAAGGGAGGAGCAGGATT